AAAATCATATTAGGTAGAAGTGTTACAGACTGCAGTATATCTAAAGAATATCTTACCAACTAAAGGCATCCATAGTCAAGATGCCACACTATTGGAGCTCTGGTTTAGCAAGAAACCTCAAGTTGAACACCTGTGAGTATGGGGCTGCACTGTCTATGCATACATTCATGCTTTCCAAAGAAGTGATAGGAGGTGGAGTGCACAAGCCAAATGCCTGATGTTTGTTGAATATACAATGACCATCAAACAATACAGATTGTATAATCCAAAAACAAAGACTTACACCAAATTGTGAGATGTTATATTCTATAAAGACATTCCTTTCTTTCAACAAAGTACTCAACAAATCTTTCTCCTATTTACCAAGTCATATAAGGAATCAGATCCAAGTCCTCCTGTTTGGCTCCCCGCTAAAACTAAGTCGAAAGATTATGAGAATTTGGGACACAGCAAATCCTCTAATTCTGCACAGTTGGCATCCAACATAAGTTTTCCTATACCATTAGCTCCACCAGTAAACAATGAAAAAGGACCTGTGACCCTGGAGCAGAGAAGAATTAGAGCTGTGGAGTCACTACTCTCTAATCTTGGTATATATTGGGAGAAATCAGCACAGCAAAGACGAGAGATTAACAGCTGGCGGAACTTTGAGCAGCCAGATGACTCCATTCAGCAGAATGGGATATCAAGCCAAAATCGACATATTTTACAACAAGAAGAAGAATTTGATATTGATGCAGCAAACTCAGTTCTTTAAATAGACTTTGTTTTTATGGTTAATGCAGGATCAAGTAGTATTGGAGATGCTTTGAAGAATCACGATCAAAAGAAATGGGTCGAGGCAATTAATAGTGAACTAGAATCACTGGAGAATCATCAAATATGGGAGGTAGTGGACTCAGGACAACTACCTATAGGAATAAAGCCAATTAGTTCCCACATGGTACTATAGTAAAAGGTTGGTGAGGACAGCAAAATAGCAAGGTACAAAGCAAGACTTATTGCCCACGGTTTCCGCCAATGCTCTGGGATTGACTTTACTGAGACCTATTCACCTACAATTTCTTACGCTGAAATCCAATTTGTTTTGTCAAAAGCCACTGCAGAAGACAAGGAGATAGTTCAATTGGATATTGTGACTGCATTCCTAAAAAGTGAGATCTTGGAAGATATCTACCTATGCCTACTAAATGAATTCACAGTTACTAGTAATAGGACCGTAAAGTTGCAGGAACCCAAGATGGGAGAAAAAGAAGAAAAAGATACAGTGGTAGTTGTAAAATTAAAGAAAAGTCTTTATGATCTCAAACAAGTGGGACATAATTGGTATCACACTCTTCAGTCCTACTTTACACAACAGATGAGAATGAGTTCTTCCAAGTACAAAGCTGGAATATACACCACTATGTCAGGAATAACCATTATTGCATAGGTAGATGACTTACTTCTGATTGGTACTCCAACTGAAATTGCTAATATGCGAATCCAAATTCAAGAATGATTTCAGATAAATGACTTAGGCAATGTAAAGTTCTTCCTTAGTATACTGATAGAATGAGATCAAAATGAGAAATGCCTTTTTCTCAGTAAGGAAGTCTATTTGGAGAAGGTGTTGCACCATTTTTCAATGACAAACTGTAAAGGTTGTACTACTCCTCTAGATCCTAAAATAAAACTACACCAAAAGACAGACCAGGAGCCAGGGACAGACCAACAAATATATCAGAAAGCAGTTAGAAGCTTGATACATACAGCAATCACAACATGCTCAGACCTTGCCTATGCAGTTGGGCTTGTGGGACGTTTTTCTGCTCAACCCTTACTATTACATTGGCAAGCTATCAAGAGAATCCTGAGATATATTCAAAAGACAAAGAAATATCACCTGCGACTAGGATGGAGTACTTCAGAGAATCGGAATAAATGTACAAAGTTGAAGGATTTAACACTCTTAGTCTTTGCAGATGCTGACTTTGCGGAGGAGGAGGATGGCTTAAAATCTACTACTGGATTGGGAATTCAAGATCCATATGGGGCACTAGTAAATTGAAGATCTTTTAAGCAGCGAATTGTGACAAAGTCAATGGTGTATACAGAATTTAATGTAATAGCTCTTGCTGCAGGAGAAGGAATTTGATTGAGAATGCTACAGGAAGAATTATCTTCCAATTCAAATATACTTCAATACCCACTTATTTCACTTTTCAATGACAACCAAACCTGTATCTCTAGCCTAATACATGAACAGTTTAGACCATCAACCCATCATGTTGGTGTTCGCTATTTCTGATTAAAAGAAATCATTGCATCGCGGGAGATAGGTATAAAGTATTTAAGAACAGATAATATGTTAGCTGATGGATTTACAAAATCTCTGGAAAAAACATAGCATGACCGGTTTGTGGTAATACTTGGAATGGATTAGTTATTAAAGATAGAAATTGTCAGTGTATTAGAAATATGGGGGAAAGCATACCACTGTTATTATTATTATTATTTTTACGTCTATATATATTCTGTGTATATTAAGTTCAAGTTAAAAATACTGGCTGGGATTAGGAGGAGTGATGGTGTAATAATCCCATCAGTAGTTAGATATTTGTATTCACAGAGTGAGAGAAGATAATTGTCTGTAGTAGCATTAGAGCTACTAGTTGGGAGTTGTCCTATAGTATTAGTATGGTGTGTAACTAGGCACTTCCACAAACTTGTATATATAGAGGTAGATCTCCACTCACAAATGTTATGCTTTTCTGAGATTAATCCACCTCTACATACACCTCTGACTACGATTCCACATCATCCTCACAACTCACCACTCCGCTCACCACCTGACGAATCTGTTGTGAAACTGTATGATCCTCATTTCTTACCATCTATTGCCTCTTCAATAGCTTTTTTAACCTTATTTTCTGAATCTTTCATGAGATATAGATCAGGATAATGCTTCTGAAACTTATCTTTCACCAGAGTTCAAACATGTTTAATTGGATTGAGATCTAGTGTATAGACCAGAATTTTCATAATAGTAATTTTCTGCCCTTTGAGCTATTTCCTAAAAGGCAAATAAGTCTTAATATTGTCAATGATAAAGAAAATCTCTTCCTTCTCAAGATGCTTCTTAATACCCTCCTATATCTCTACAATGTCATACTGATCATAAACTTCAATAATTGACTTTCCAGTTACTCTACTTCTAGCAGAAGAAAAATCAGGAAAATATGCAGAAAGAAATTATGAGTTTGACTATACAAACAACCAGTCATCATCTGGATAGTCTTCCTCTCCCTACTCTAGCAGTAGGTTCTATACAATCCTTATTCTATTTCTCTTTTGAGTACCTAAATACCCATTTTCTCCACTTTTCTTCCCTACTCTGAATAGCAATCTTATCTCTCCACATTGCCTTCCTCCTTTACATCCCTCTTGTCCAATACCTACAGGCTAATACTCATTCTCATCTCTCCTGAGCTAGATTCTCATCTATGTGAACTCTCTCTTGTGCTAACCACTTTGCATAATGCCTTTTTGTAAATCTTCTCCTGACTATCATAGAAGAAACATTAGAAGTAACCTTTTAGGCAATCTCAAATAGGTAGCATTGCAATTTTCAAGAGCTTTCTCCACCATAGTACTATCTTATAATAACTTGGTAGTCTTAGAATGTCTTCCTCCACCCTTCCTCTGCTTGCCCTCTAGGTCTTTCCTCGAAATTGTCTTTTTGACAGTCATACGAGAGATGTTAAGGTAGTCAGAAATTTGCTAAAATTCCATCTGAAGCTTATGTAATCTAAGGATTCTCCTCCTGATGAACTCAAAGAGGTAATGGATTGGATTAGGCTTTTTTGAATAACTGTAAAGAATAGGAGGTATAGTATTTAAAGGAAAACAAATCAGGTAATGTGATTGGGTTTTGGTTGAGTTAATGCAATTTCTTTTGGTAGCATTGAAAATGGGCAGGGTGATGGGCTATGGTTGCCATGCACCATGGGCGGTCAGTTATTTTTGTTAACAAACAATATGATACTTGTACCAGATATTTGCATCCTTCTAGATATGATAATTATAATATATCAAAATGTCTTTGCACCCGATTTTCCAAACCTCAAAAAACAAATTGTTGCCTATTCAGGAAAGGTGGTTTGTTTATTATAATATAAGGTAAAAAGCACCCAAACTCACTCCTGTGATAACCCATTACTGAATATTCTCTACTACCAAGGGCCAGCCATCTATTAATCCCATCACCTTCCAATATTATTATTATACTCATTTCAGATTTTCACTTATGACAGGGTACGTTACCGCCGTACTCGATAAACAGATAAATTAAATTAAAAATATTTTGACTCGCAAGACAATGTTGACTTCAACTATTGCTACTACGGACAAATCGCTTCCGAAAGTCATTAAAAAAAAACAACCTCTGTACTCGAGTATATGATATTATACAAGTACAAGTACCTGTCCACGCTAGTAGTGGTACTGTACTTGTACTATTAGTACGGTTCATGACCGCACCGGCACATCCAATCAAACCAACCAACCAAATACCATAATATTGATACACCCACCACTCACACTCCCCAACAAACAAACGCTCCAGTCATAAACTCTCACCCGCGTGAATCATGAATGATGAAGGGTGAAGGTGAATAAGTAATCCTACGAGTACAGTACTCGTACATACAAACCAACGGACGAACCACGCCACCCGCAATGGAAACAAGGAACCCCCCCCCCACTCCACCGAAGAGGGCCAAGTTACGTAATAGTAATCCAATAACAAATCCCGGTCGGTACTTGTACCTCTCAAGATTTGTAATCACAAAGTACCGCCATAACTTAGCAAATGGATAGGAACTCGTATTCGGAACAGGCAAGCCTGCATATCCGGAGATAGGCTGGGGAGATAGGCCAAGACTTTTTTCCATGAGGGGGCGGGGAGATACTGTAATATATAATCTAGTGACTACGGGTCCCCCAGATTAGAGAGAGAGATGTCGAGCTTTCAGGCTCATGCCCGATGCCCCACATTCACGACTCACAACAACGCAGATCCAACAGCAGCGTTATTCCTCACAACACGGTGTTCGGAGAAACCAATCTATCAGAAGAGAAGGGAGGAAAAAATGCGGACTAAATATCTCGAAGGTCTAGCGTTATTCACATTTCCGTAATTTCTCCAAATGTACAGTACGTTCAGTGTTTCTCCCCCTCAGCCACTCCAACAGCCAGCCAACTCTAGCCCACTATCATATACCTGATCTCATCCTACCTACCTCATGAACTTTTATTTTATTCCCCTCAGGGAGCGAAAAAACATAAAAAAACCTTGTCGCAGCAACAAAAAGGAAACCAGAGATGGAAAGGAAAAAACGCAAACTCAAGCTACTCACCATAAACGGGTGTCAGAAAAGAAGAAAAAAATGTTTCATCCTTATATTTACCCCCCGGTCTGAGCCAAGAAAAATTTATGAGAAAATCATTTTAATTTTAGTTCAGGAAAAGGTCATTAAGGAGGAAAGAAAAAATGACAAAAAACACCCATCTCTAAAGGTAGCAAACAAAATGAAGGTTGTTTTTTCACAAAAACAAACGATGGAAAAAGAAAAATACCATGACAAATTTACTCAGAGTCGCTAACCTCTGCAACTTGAACAACAGGGCCCTTCTTTTCAAAAGGCACTCTAGAAACAATCTTCTCCTGGCTGACAGGTGGAACACCAAGACCATTTCGGTTTCTGAAGAAGACGACCCCCTTTCCTTCACCTTCGGCACCCTCACTGGGCTCAACAAACTGGCACCAACGGGAAGATCGCCAGAGAGCGCGTAGGAAGCCAGCTGGGCCGCCTTCGGTGTCAGATCGATAGTGCTTGCCCATAACCTTCTTGATGGCCTCGGTAGCTTCATCGGCATTGTAGAAGGGGATGCTGGAAACAAAGTGGTGGGCAACGTGGGTCTCAATGATACCGTGGAGGAGATGACGACCAATGAAGCCGAATTCACGGTCAATAGTTGCGGCGGCGCCACGGGTGTAGGTCCAGGATTCGGGGTGGTAGTGAGGAAGTGAAGGGTCGGTGTGCTGGAGGAAGGTGATGGCCACTGATGATGATTCACATTAGTCAACCGATCGTAACCGCCGGAGACCGACAAGATGGACAGGATGATGTAACAATCAAAACTTACCGAGCCAGTGATTCACCCACAAATACGGACCAAAGTACCAGATCGCGATGTTGGCCAAACCCCAGATCTGAACAGCCTGGTAAAGGAAGTACATTGTCACGGCAATACCGACATCACTCAACAAAATCCACTTGGCATCACGGTTCTCATACAGTGGACTGCGGGGGTCGAAATGATTGACACCACCGAACCATCCATTCCTCTTCCCAACTCCGCGACCTTCAGATTGACGCTCATGGTAGGGGTGTCCGGTAACGTTGTTGATAAGGTAAAAGGGCCACCCCAAAAGCTGTTGGCCGATAAGGTGTACCAAGGTTGCAATAGGGGTCTCCTCAGTCAACTCGACGATGTCATGGCCAATACCACCGGCATAGCGGCGCGAGTACTCCTCACGAGACTTGGGGACGAAAACCATGTCGCGCTCAAGATGTCCAGTTGCCTTGTGGTGCTTTCCGTGGGAAATCTTCCACGACCAGAAAGGGACGAGGAGGGAGGAGTGAAGAACCCATCCAACAAGGTCGTTTACCGTCTTCGAAGGAGAGAATGCACCATGCCCACATTCGTGAGCAAGAACCCATAAACCAGTACCAAAAAGCCCCTGAATGAACGAGTACACTCCCCACGCAGCGAACCTAGCGACAGGGTGGTATTCCGCCAGCGCAGGAATGATATGGAATTTGAAAGCATAGAAATTGGAGGACACCAAAGCCAGATCACGGGCTACGTAGCCCAGGGACCGGAGAGTGGAACTCTTGTAGCAGTGGGCAGGAATGGCATCCCGAATCTGCTTGATGGTGAAGTCCGGGAATTCAAACTCATTTCCGTAGGTATCCAGCAGCGGCTTTCGGGATTTCTCATTGACTGGCGCCATAGATGAAAGCGAGGTTGATGAAGATGAGGCGGATGGAGCCTTTGAGGATGAAGTTGAATTGGCAGAAAGGGGGGTGGACGCCTGGGAAATTGAAGACTTGCGAGTTCTAGAACGGGTAGCCATGTTGAGAAGATTACGAAGTTCTGCCCGGATCGAAAATGGTCAGCCATCGTATCACCTTTCCCAATTCTCTCAACTCTGGTATGGACTATCTCCCTCTAGGCCCAAGGTCTGTTTCTCTCTCCCCTCCGCCAATTTTTCAGCGGAACAGTCAACCCCCCTCATTCAGATCTCCGTTTACCTCTCTGTGCATCGGGAGACAAAAGGTAACACGACATGCAATACAGATCCCCACCCCTCATGATATCAATTGGATAACCGAACCGCAAAAGAAAGAAAAAGATAGGAAATATCTCACCTATTATCTCCACGCGTGATTCAATATCTCTTCAATCTTTGATTGCTGCTCCTCGGCTGTCTGATCCCAATTTCTTTAACTCTCTTGCGGCCGACTCCAGATCTTTTGAAGGAAGCGGAGGATGGCAAATGGATGGCGGTGGAGAGGTACAGAGATATATGGTAGGAAAGAGGAAAGGAAGTGTACGGTAAGTCTCGGGTGGCTCGCTAGACCATATCCCTGGGACAGTCTGAAAAAAAAAAAACCTCGAGGGGAGGGCAGCAGCGGCAAACAGGGTCCGAGAGTGAATAGGGCTCGCTTTTATTTTATCCTTTAACTTTCGGGGAGGGACATGAATTTTCTCGCTGGGGAAGAGGGATGCAAGGGAAGAGGGAAGAACAGACGGAACAATTGACCAAGCGACCTCACACGGCATTACCTACTGCGTGCAACAGTCTTATGGTCTATCACACAAGTACTCGTACCTCTCCCTTGCTCCACCTTGCCACAGTTCCGTAGACTGAACACAGCAGCGGGATTCGCTCCAGTGCCCTCTCCACTACTACTAGCCTTACCCTATTTCCTTTCCCCGAGAAAGACTGTATGAATTACTCAGTTCGAGCTGAGCAAAGCACAGAAGATCATGAGCTGTCCATCCAATTCAGTCACAGTCCGAGTCCTGGCAACTCTGGAGGAAAAAGACAGATCATTAGTTTCCTCTACATCGCCAAGGCAGACCTAAATCCCATATCCCGCACTCCTCCCTCCCCCCTTTCTCACTTTTTCCACCCGATCCATTCCTCCGGCTAGGCATCCCATTCCTATACGTTCCGAGAAAGCTGCATGCCCCTCACCCAAACGCAACCCAACACCAGCGCTGTAAGTACGAGCACTCGAACTACCACCTTCTCCTCCTCCTCCACCTCCTCCTGCGCCGGAAGTCTGTATACTGTGTACGAGCACAATATAAAAGAAAAGACATCGGGCAACACCGGAGTCTACCGAATACCGCGGCACTTTCCTCCCATTGGAACGTTTCATCCACATCCACCGTAGAAGGCACGTAGAAAAAAAAAATTTTTACGTGAAATAAAATAAAAAACCTTTATGCAGGGCAAAGCAAGAACCGACCAATCAATTTCCTAATTCCCAGATCCGGCCAAGTGGGGGCCAATTGTTTCTTTTCTTCTTCCGTGTTTCGGTGGGAAATATTTATCCTCCTCGCCCACTTTGGAATTTGTTGAGGTGCGGCACTAATACCTTATTCTGTCCCTGACCTGCTCCGTCACCCTACGAATTACCGGTATCATACTGTGCTGTAGCGGCACTCGAGTACCGTAGAATACGGTACTGTGCTCGTGCGTCTCTAACCACGCAGCTCCCCTTCTTTCTTTCCCTGTACGAGCTGACAATATGAGCCGATCAGAATTTCCTCGGATGCACTTCTCCCCCAGCTGATGGATGAAGTGATTGGAATCTCCATGATGAGCATCGCAAGAACAGCTTCGATCCCAGATAAGGTTTCCCCCCATGCATCCACCACCTCTTTATTCCGCGCATCCATGCCCAACCACATCCCAACAACAACCCTTCCCATCCCCACAGTTTTTCGCTTCTCCTCCCACCACTCTTTCCCCCTTCCCACCAACCCCGGTGGATTTTCACCACCCCCTTCATCCCACCGGTGTGATAACTACTCGAGTACTCGTAGACTCGAGTACAAGTACAAGTACTAGTACTAGTACCGGTACTGGGACTTGTGTCGTACTCTACGAGTAGACTGTCAATCATGTCCGCAACCCATCCCCATCTTTTCCGACCCCAAGAGGGGAAAAAATTCTAGGACCTCTTGGCCTCAACTTTAAGCATCTCCCGTTGGATCACCATCGGCGGTACCAACGTTACTGTAATATAGGTAGCTTGTTGAGATCTTCAATCCAGTTGTCGTTCTCGTGTCGCGGGTTTTCGTACCGGTGCCGTCTACTGCTTTGAGAAAATAAAACATGTGAATACGGTACCGGTACTGTAGCAAAATCCCCCGAGAACAGAAAAAGTAAAAAGTGAAAGAAAAAAGAAACGATCCCTTTCCTCCCTCCCCCATTGTCCATCACATCTTTGAGCCTCACAATCACTCACCACCTATCAACCACAACCCATCTTCGCCAACGCCTGGACTCGAGACAAGAAGGCATGTGAAAAGCTCGGCAATCCCTGCCTCTTCCCCCATACCCAGAACGGGAATGAACAACAGAGGGCATTCAGCCCCTCGACTTGAAAAAACGTTTATGCAAGGCTTTGGAGCCGTAACATCCTTTTTCCTCAGAATTCCAGCGTACTCGTGCCAAGGTTGTGGCATGCCGCCACAACCCCCAGCGCTTGCAAGCTCACACAACCTGGGGCACTAAAGAGTGCCTGAAACTGTACTTTACAGCTCAACGGTACTTTGTGGCTCACCATGGTAACTCTGTGGCTAAACGGTACTTTGTAGCTCAATAGAACTTTGTGAATAATATGAGATCTCAAGACAACATGAATACAACTTTCTTGTCCAGTACAACTTCATAGTGATAATGGTTTATTATTATATAAAACTAGTAGCTGAACATACTAGTAGTAATCAAAGTTGAAAGAATACAGTATTTTGTATTACAACAATTCTTGCAACCTTGCTTGTTACTTAATTCTCATTACTATAAGTCTTGATATTTTCGTTTCATGTGCTTGGAGTGCAGGTCGGGCTTTTCCTCTAGGCTTTATCTCATCAAGAAATGGTTTACTCTGTGCTTTCTCAACTCTTTTTTGGGCATCTTGAGCCTTATGGAGTTGTTTTTCTGCTTTTTCAATATCAACAGCCTCTCTACTCTTCACTATTTGGCTTGCTTGTGAAGGATAAATTACTCATACAGTTTGTATTTATCTCCTATTCTGAGCTCTGTTACAAGTATTTCTGGCATTCTCAGCAGCACAGATATTTTCCAAATGCTGTATCACTAAAGTACCTGATTGGGTAAAGACTAGTTTTCTCTGTAGAACATTTTTAAGTCTTTACTGAATATTAGGTGATATATCCTTCACCTCCTCCTGCAGTTCCTCATTATGAATTTTCAGTTGTAGAAGTATGAGGGGAATGCCACCAGGAGTTGATGATTCACTTGCTGCTGTAGATAGTTCATTAAATACAGGTGATGCCTCATGCAGTTTCGAAACTACAAGATCGGGGTTGAATAATATAAGACCAATAGTGTAGAAGGCTGAATGGATGGTAGATGGCTTGAATGTTTGTTGATAGATAAAATCAATTCTATCTAAAAATTCACATTTATCAAAGTCTCCGCAGCCCAGACAAGTTGCTTTCTCTACCGCTTCTGAGTGATAATGTTTATAAGTGTAAGATTCCTAAGGTCCTGTTAATATAGAGCAATAGACAATGATATATTTTCTTGATATATATATATAGATATATATAAATATCTTCTTCAATAATTCTTAGACCCTTTAGTTAACTGTACTAACACTCGCATAGGTAATACCTATTATCATAATATATAGTGGTATTACCTTTCTGTTTCTGAGGAATGTAAAGCAATAAAGAGTGTAAAGATGTTTTATTCGTAAAAGTAATAAGTAAGGAAATTACTTAGAACAAAGTATGAAGAGCCTATTCCTTTTAGTCATACTAGCCTTCTTATATAGTACGCTTCATACGAACCCTAACTCTAATGACTCATAACTATAAGTCAGATACACAAAACTAATGACTCATAATTGAGTCAGGTGCGAAATATAATAAATCATGATAGAATCAAGTCATATGACTCAAGTGAGTTATCTGCTCAAAACCCATAACTCATAGTCAAGTCATGCATGAAATATAATAAACCATAACATAAACAAATCATACGACTCGAGTGAGTCATATGTGTGAGACCTAAGACTCATAATTGAGTCCTGTGTGAAATCCTGTTAAATCTGTGACAATAAGGCTGAAAGACAACTACATCAAATAGCTGAATGTTAGAAATACTGGGATCTGACTCCTAGGAACCACCCTAAGTAAGATAATCCCACTTGGAATTGGAATCTCTAGTCTCAAACACCCTCCTCTAGCCCCCTTACCGGGCCTGCATATCATCATACACCCTTATTTTAATTGCATCCTATGACTATAGGGCTATGGAATTGAAGGTGTAAGAATAATATTGTATACATCGCTCTTGTCAGTCTGACCGAATCCTGTTTACAGATTATATGAGACGGGATCTTCGGTTATGTCTGAGAAGTGGAACAGAGTAAATCCATCAACTACTCAGAGATTGGCTAGGCTTCATAGTTGTGATAACCTTTGTAAGAACAGTAGGTAATGGGATATTTTTATAAGAAGAGATGATATTGAATGTTAAAGGATCTTTACAAGAGGCCAATACATTTGCACCCACTCTATGATAACTAGAAGGTCTAGACCTCTGAGAAATACTACCACTGAAGCTAATAGACTTCCAGGAGTGTTACAACTGGGCCTAAGAATACATTGTAGCTGCTGGAATAATTCCCAACACTAGAACAATAACTGAAGTCTTGTTATCCTGAGCAACTGAGAGTTGCTAACTGAGGGATATTCTACCAACTCAGTAGAATGGCTTCCTGCAAATTAGTTGAAAGTTATCTGAAAGATATCTATTAGCTGAATCCGGAGTTATGGAGGTTAAAGGTCAGGTGACCTAGGAAGGTTGAAATTGCAACTACCACTACAAATACAACTCACAGATGAAACTGATCATTTTATTGATAAGGGAGATAATTGGGGCCAACTCAGTTTAACTTGAGAACTAGGATATAAGTCTAATGACTCTGAAGATCAAATAATTACTATTGAAAATTATATAGTTCCTGTAACCGGTACGGGTACTCAGTTATTGGTTTTGTGTGATGTTTTGTTTTAAGTATCGCTTTGATACTTGGTTTTGTTTTTTGTATCGCTTTGATACTTGGTTTGTTTTAAGTATCGTTTGATACTTGTTTTTGTTTTATGTTTTGTTTTAAGTATCGCTTTGATACTTGGTTTGTTTTAAGTATCGTTTGATACTTGGTTTTGTTTTATGTTTTATTTTAAGTATCGCTTTGATACTTAAGGAGTTTTACCAAAGTGTATCGATTGATACCTTTGATCAGTTTCGTTCATGCTAGACATGAACAGATTTGTGTATTTAAAGACCGCCTGTTTCTACGATAGAAAAGGCAGACTTCGACAGACAGTATTTCAATATACTTGGTTGAACGGTTACTTCTTTGTTCCCCAGTACACCCTCGAAGCCTCCTTTAGTTCTCAGCTCTCGCCTCCTCTCCGGAAGAGCAGGCCACCTGCCAACTATCGTATCTATTACCGATAACGTGATTAGTACCTTGCGAACACGTTACATTTTTTTAACCTCAGCAAGTGGTTAA